ATGAGGACTCTAGATTCATCAACTAAGAAGAGAAGGACTAAGAACTGGTGGCCAGGAGCAGATTTGCAGAATGTGCCCTTTGGAGATGTAATTTATTATGTATGCCTGAAAAAAAAAAAAGAAAAGAAAAGAAAACCCTACGGGGCAGTTCTACTGTCACATGGGATCACAATGAATCAAAAGGACGTTGTTTTAATACATTAGTAGTAACCCTTCTTCTGCACTAGTTATCTTGGATCTATACCTCAGTTCAGTACTACAGGCCAGGCTAAGGGACTAAGCCAGGATACTTAATTGGCTTAGAGGGATTTCCAGGAGAATCCTTCCACACTTTGCTTTGTGAAGGCTAATGGCAGCACAGGTCTATGGGAAACCAGAGCCCATCAAAGAGTAAGAGGAGGCCCTGTTTGCGTATGGAGATATAGTCAGTTGAGGTGGCTGGGGAGGAAGAAATGAGATAACTTTCCATTGGCTATCACACCCAGACTTGCACTTGCTTGTGCCAACAGTGGCTTAAAGGTACAATGCACCAGTCCTCTCCCCAGTATCCCTAATTCCCTACAAGCCACCCCAGGAGCAACAGTGTCCAGCTGAGGCCCACCTCATGAGTTCCATGAGAGAAGTTCAGACGGGCCACATTCATTCCAGACTTAATCATCTCCTGCAACATTTCCACTGACCGGGAAGCTGGGCCTATTTAAAAAAAAAAAAAAAAAAGAGGGTTTTAAAGCCACAAATGTTAACCATTCAACACACCAGTTTGCTTGGCGCCCTATGAAGCAGTTCTACTGTCCTATAGGGTTGCTCCAAGGCAGATTCAAAGAAAGCAGTGGGTTTAGTTATGCGTTTTGTTTAGGTAAGGCTTGGCCAGCCTTCTTCTTTGCTCTCACAGAAGCCCAGCCCGATGTCCTGAGCTCAGAATTTTGAATGCACAGAGCATGTCTATAGATCTTTACTGGGTCTGAGATGTTCCTACAAAGATCCTCAAAAGAGACCCTCTAATGTGCTTTTGGAGTCCTGGTGTCGGCTAATGCGTCAGATTGCAAAGCTGTTTGAACTGCAAGGTTGGCGGTTCAAGCTCACGAGCTGCTCCTTGGAAACCCTATACAGGTCGGAACTGACTGGACAGCACTTAACAACAATGTGCCTGTATCAGACAATACTGTATTTTGTTATTGTTACATGCCTTCTCGAGTTGATTCCGACTCATAGCACCCCTATATAGGGTTTCCAAGGAATAGCTGGTGGGTTTGAACTGCCAACTTTATGGTTAGCAATCCAATGCTTATCCTACAGCGCTACACCAGGACTCTAACAGAATAGAGAACACTTTTTATTAAACTTCCTATCACCTGACTTCACACGTGACTCTGTGAAGCATCTCGCCCATCATCCAGGTTTGTTTAGTCTTTTCATTGTCTCGTGAAGTACTTGTGTATGCTATTAGGAGGTGGAGGGCTGGGGCGGGGAGGGATGCACTCACCAATGGTACAGATGATGCCAGTGTTTCGGGCCGTGATGGGTGCGGAGTCAATGTCCAGGCGGCACATGTGCTCCAGGAACGTGTCGGCCATGGCTGCATGCAGCTGCTGGGTCTGAATGAAGGCGGATCCCACTTCACTATGGGGCTTCGACATGGCTGCTGGGGTCCTAGGTCCAGGAGAATCAACAGGGTCAGTCTGATAAACCCAGGTGGTAGCTATACTGCTTGGCACAAGAAACTCTTCTGTTGAGAAATTAACTCAATAAGCACACTTTGTGCACAAGCCAGAGGGAACCCAACCACATTCTAGTTATGTGGGTGCTCCTTGCATTGGGCAAAGGGCTCATGAGTCTGAGGAAATGGAAAGGCACTGAAGGAATCCATTGTAGGTGTCCCTTACCCTGGGCTGCTATCTCCAGTGATGGCTACCCCCACCTACGCTACAAGTGACAACATCTACATGCGTGGAAAGAGCTCCCTCAAAAGGAAGCTGTTCCTAGCCTTCTAGTGAAACCAACCACTGACTTCTACTTTCTCTTTGTACAATGAGTCTCAAAGCAACAAATATCTTGAGGTTAGTAGGACACCCACGTTGTCTCTCTGCCAACACCCTGTTACAAGCCCAAGTGCTTTCCCTAGTTGTGAACCCAACCAGTGCCCAGGCAGTCTCCCCTGCTCTGGAATTCTACCCCAAATCCCTGGGGGTTCATTTTTAGATTCACACCAGGCCAAGAGGAGGTCTCAGCCCATGACAGGCAACAAAAGCAGTCTCTTGACAGGAAGCAAAGTCCAGCCAGAACCCCAAGAATGTACCTTTACAGTCTCTTCCATCCACCCCCCATCCCCGTCCCCCGTTCCCCAATACTGTTTTTGGCCAGGAGCAATTTAGGATATGAGAATCAATTTGCACACAACCAAAGAAAGCACAGTGGTGCTTGGTCCGCTTCTAAAAGCACTCACCATCAGGAGAGCTACAAGGTGACGACAGAACAGTTTTCGTACATTTTCCCCAACTAGCTTTCTAATGTACCACCCCAAATCCCTCTCAAAGTCTGACAAGAAAGGCCCAAAGGCCCAGCCAGAAGCAAAGACTGTTCTGGATCATTAACCAGCTCAGGCCACAATCCTGACCTTCGCTTTACTTCATTACCTACTCTACAACTGAACTCACTCAGCCTGTTAGTGAGCTGATTTCCAAACCATCAGGTAAGGATGTGACCTCGAAGCCTGACACCCTTCTCATACTTGCAGACGTTTCCTCAAGTCTTCGTATCAAGGGTTATTCTTTTAAAACCCCCTAAATCTACATGGTTTAGCTGGAGGCTCTGGAACAAGCGCCCTTTCTCTGCCCCACCTCCTCTTCTTCAACCTCAGAACCTCACACCAAAGCATCCCTTATGTCTGACCCTTAACTCTTCCTTCCATCCCTGTCTTTGTAGCCTCTTCCCTTAGGGAGTGGGGAGGAAAAGGGGATGGCTTAAGTTGAGTATGAGCCTAAATCCAGAACCCTCCCATCTCAACAAAGGTCTGATAAAAGCCCAAGGGGCTTTGTGACCAATGACGAACAAACAAAACAACCTGTGTTGTTGTAAAGTGCCATAGAACCAGTTCCGATTCGTAGCCACCCTGTATGAGTTTCCAAGGAGTGGCTGGTGGGTTTGAACCACCAACCTTGCAGTGAAGCCGCCCAGTGCTTATCTTACAGTGCCTCACCGGGACTCCTATAAGTTATTGAAAATTGCAGCTAACAGTCCTCAAGTACAGAATCCAAACTTTTAACACTGGAGAAATCAGCATTCTTAACCCTCACACACTAGCTACCAATACAAGTTCTCCAATCCTCTCCTCCAGGACCTTTGGTGGCCACTCTCCTACGACTTGAAGCTTCCCAGTGTTTGCAGAAGGGCCGGTCTAATTGAAGGCCCCTTTGCCTCCACTCCCCAATCTGAGGAGCCTCTGAATTACTAACCGTGTCCCTCTCTAACAACACTCCCTTGTTGAGGCAGGACACACAGGCCTTCTGAGCAGCCAGCCAGGCGTAGTAAGACTGGCTGCGGAAGTAGCACAACCGAAGGGGTGGGGCCAGGCAACACAAACACACAAAGGCTTTGCTGCAGCACCTAAGGGAGAGTTAGGGTTAGGGTCCCAGAAATGTGTTGTGAGCAAAATCAGTCCTGCGTGAATGGGTTGGAAACACGAATCCCACCCTTCTATAAAATCGCCAGCTGACACTTTCTTCTCTTGACTTGCGACAAGGGTTTCCTTGCAGAGGCTGAACTGGGGCCGCTGATGGTCAGGTCATACCTTGTGTTGTCTGGTCTTGGGTCTCCGGTGACATAATGCTCTTTTTTTGGTGCAGGGTGGCTCTTTGACCCCACTTGCAAAGACCGCTCGGAGCTGAGTAAGGTTTGCCCTGGAGAGCTGTACAAGGGTTAAGGTAAAAGCTGAGTGTAACCAAAGCCCTTCTGAGTAATGGAGACATTACCTTAACAATCAGGTTTCCTGGTGGTACCTGGTCCTAAAGGTTTGGCTGAAAACATATAGACGCCTCCCAATACACACACGCACAAACACTTAAAAATAAATGTCACAGGTTAAAGTGGGCCCTTCCTGGTTCCCTTGTGTTGCTGTATACCCTCCAGTCAGTTCCAACTTACAGTGACCCTAAGGACAGTACAGCACCGCCTCACAGGGTTTCCAAGGCTGGAATCTTTATGGAAACAGACTGACACATTGTTTTCCCTTAGAGCGGTGGGTAGGTTAGAACTACTGACCTCTCAGTTAGCAGTTGAGCACACTTGACCATTGTGCATTTAGAAGGGCTCTGTTATGCTTTCCCAAAGATGGCCTTCCCCCTGATGTTCCTTTAAACCCAGGGTTAACTAACAATGTAGTCTATATAAGAGCCTATCATTCACCCTCTCCCACTTTATGGAGGGGGGGAGGGCAATAAAGCAAACATGGAGACTAAATAGGACATAGATCAGAACATTAACAGAATATTATCTGATTGATAGGATGCCAATTTCTCACTTTTTATTAAATGTAGTGATTTTTATAAAAAAGAGACAGGTATACCTTATACCCTCTCTGAAAATGCTGTATTTTTACAGGCATTGTGTAGAATTGTTGGGAGAAAAGAAATGAAACATGAATCTCCCAGTTCAGACCGTCACTCTATACAGCTCTGGAATATTCTACTTAAATGTGGTAGAGACAAGTCATGTCCCAGGTCCTTGATCACAAGTGCATAGTGCAGAACAGTTCATTGGCTCAGGGAAGTCGTATCAGGAGCCATGCACACTCTCAGTGACAAAAACTGTCAGTATGGCCCACAGGACAATTCTACTCCAAACAGGTTAGTTATGTGTCCAAATCCACCGACTTCTTTTCCTGTTTAAGTCTATCGTGTAGCTTTATAACAAACCTTCAGGTATAGAAAGGGCTGCGTCTTAGATCCAGTGCTGTGTGGCTTCAAACACAAGCCTTAGTTCACCACCTTGGATTAAATCTGAAGCCTACATACTTGAAATTTTTACTCAGATTATGCTAGTAAGTACAAAAGTGACAAATGAAACTGTGTCTTGTATGTTAGTGGATTTACACAAAAGCCATCAAACAAGCTTGCCTGTCAGCCATCTGTCTGGACTCCTCCAAGATCCCTTAGGTCCTAAATCTCCCCCACAAGGCCAGAGACCAGTTGTGTGGCGCGCTGGATGGTCAATACTTGACTGCCAACTAACTATAAGGTTAGTGGTTCAAACCCACCAGCCGCTCCTCAGAGGCCCTCTACAGAATCGCGATGAATGGGAACTTATTGGTGGCCCATAACCAGGCCAGAGACCTGTGTCTCCTCCTCAGGTCACCAACTGGTCTCTTCCCTCAGGTTCCTTGGAGCCCCATTCTGTCTTGACCGGTACTTCTGTACTGCCTCAGCGTGTCTGGAAGGGAGGGTTGAAGCTTTCCTGCCTGCCTCTGAGATCCTCTGCAAGTCTCTTCTCCACAGCACAAGTTCCCCAGCCCAATCCCCTACCTCACACTGCATGTGAAACACCATCTGGAATCTCACCCAGGCCCAGAATGACTGCCCAGCTTCGAGGCAGGACCTGGAAAGGACTTCCCTTCCCTCTCTCCCAGTGGTCATCTGGATAGTGCCTGCCAGTACATGCAGCCCAGCCTGCAGCAGTCTAAGTCACTACTGCACCCTCCTTCTGGGAGGCACAGACATGCAGAGTCAACCTACAGCCAGCAGCGGAGGCCCGGTGGATCCACTGAGAGTGCCAAGCACCATGCCCAGAGATCGGAGCCTTATTCTTGCATCTGAGCCCCTGCAGTAGGATCCTCCTCAGAGCCATTTTCTTCTGTGAGACCGGAGACACCATTAGAACCTTAGGCCAACAGGCACACAGACCCACATGCCCCCAACAAGTCATCTCTTTCCCATCACAGGGGGCTCCCGACTCTCTAAACAAGCTCCATCTGTGCAAGACACAATTATTTGGCCACTCTTCAGGAACCAGGGGAAAGAAATCATAAAAAAACATGCAAAAAACAGACCCAACACTCCACTTTTTAGAGTGCTTCACTCTACCAACTCTTTCACCAAGCCCCAAATCATTCTCCCCCAATAAAGCAGTTAGGCCTAGGAGTTTACATCTGCACAAGCTGGTTTTCCACCAGCCACCTCATCAAAGTGCACTGCCCAGTGGAGACGGCACCTGAGGCCAATTCCCTCCTTAACACTGCAAGTCTTCTCTGCTCTGATACCAATTTGCTACATCCCCAAGGAGGGCTTGTGGTGCAGTGTTGAAGTGCTCAGCTAACCAAAACGTTAGCAGTCCGAACCCACAAAAGCTGCTCAGCAGGAGACAGATGTGGCAGTCAGTGGCAAAACTGAGTCTTGGAAAACCTCTGGGGAAGTTGTATAGGGTCAGAATCGACTCCAGGGCAAGGCATTTGGGACCAAGTCAGTATGGAGACCTTTTAACTCCCAAATTACCAAAACTCCAGCATCCATTAGAAAGTTTGCATCCTAATTATGTTGGGAAGTCATTAAGGCTGGCCTCTTCTCTAAGAGCTAGTCACCTTTCTCATGATGGAATCAGGAAAAACAGACTTTCTAAAGTGGGCTCTAATATGATTATGGGTAGCAACGAAATCTAAATGGGTGACAGGCTAACCCTGCAAATCTTAGTAAGGTCTGGCATACACACCCTCTTACAGTTAGCTATCAACAGCGTGTATTTTTACACATGGGGGGAGACAGGGAATTTAAGTATTTTTTTGAGATGAAGTTCTGAAAGTGAAGCCCATTTTTTACCCTCAATCGGTTCCATTACAGAAAGTAAAGGCTGATGTGTTACCAGGCTACACAAAACTTCCTTGCTCGTATTTCTTCAAAGGAAGCCCCGGTTGTGCTGTGGGTTAGACACTGCGGCTAACTGCAAGGTCGGTGGTTCAAATCCACCAGTCACTCTGTGGGAGAAAGATGATGCTGTCTGCTCCTGTTAACATTGCGTCTTGGAAACTCCATGGAAGGTAGCTACTTGAGACCAAAAACCATGTGAACCCAGGACTTTGAAACAGCTCATTCTTGTTCAACTCCCACGTGATAATTTGCATTTCCATCCCATTTATACTGAATCGTTGTTAAGTCCAACTCATGGTGACCCTGTATAGCGTTTCCGATGAGCGGCTGCTGAGTTTGAACTGCAGACTCTGTGGTTCAAATGGACCTTGTAGTTGAGTGTTTATGCTACAGCACACCCAGTCCTTATACTGTAAAGGAAGCACATTTCACATGAGACTCACCTGGGAAATCATGTAAAAGCCCTGGTAAGGTTCCTGAGCTGCCTTCTGAGTATGATACCCAATCATTAGAAGCAGTGAAGAAAAGAAAGGACCTGGAACCCTCGTTTGTGGACCGCCCAAGTCAGGTGTAGTTAGAGGAGTAAGGGTCTTAGCAAAGTGAGGCATTGGCTCAGCTCTGAAAGGAGGATCTACCCTGCATCACTGTGTGTGGAGGGGGCAGGGAGCTGAGACCACCGAGCAAGTCAGTACTACTGGTTTTCCTACAATGACCTTCACAGGTTTGCTTTTCTCCTATTTTTATGAAACAAAGAAAAGTCCAACACATATGATTTTCCCTGATACAAAAAGGGGAATATTTTTCCTCTATCCTCTTAGGGCATTTCCTTTAGAAATTTTACGATAATTATTTCTTCTCTGCCTTTCAAAGAAGTCTTCTTGAATATTTCCTCAAGGAACTGGAAGCTCTCTCTTTAAAATGTAATCAGTAAGGAATACATTGCCCCAGCCCACCTCCTGTCATAAACACTTTATTGTTGTCAAGTACCAGGAAGAGTATTTTTCCTTTGGATATAAGCAGTTAACAAACAGTGGTGGCTATCACATAACTGAAGGGCTGGTGTGGTGCTAACTGCAAGGTCAGCAGTTCAAATCCATCAGTTGCTCATTGGAAACTGTATATAGGGTGGGAACTGACTTGACGGCACATAAGAACAACTCTGTAAGGAGGTGAATTTAGGATAAACGATGTGTGGCAACTGGTGCTGTCAAGAGCTCCTATTTGAGGACTAATTCTTTTCCTTTATGAACGTGTCTGAAATGGGTTTCTTCTACTTGGCTATGTAAATGTGGATAGCCAGCTGGAGTCCTCTAGCTGGTTGCCTGTGATACATCACATTCTGATTTAATGCAATTTGTTTTCTGAGGCAGATTTTGTTTTTTATTATATTTTCCCAACATGAGTTCATCCTCCCTCCCTCGTCAGGCCCCTCTAGTTCTCCCCACCTCCTGTCATGAATTTTGTATCCTGGTATGTATGTCTACATAAAATTATGCACAGGGCCACCAGTAGCTCCATGGGAGAATGATGGGGCTTTCTGCTCCTGTAGATTTACGAGTCAGAACTGACTCAACAGCACTCCACCATATGCTATGTATCTATGTTGCTATGCTGCCATAGCAACTCTATATAGGATCTCCAAGGAGTGGCTGGTGAGCTTAAACTGCTGATCTTGCAGTTCAAACTGACTTTGCAGTCCAGTGCATTATCCCACAGCACCACACCAGACTTCATTTTAAAACAAAATATAAGGCTCAGTATAGGTGTACTTTGTTTTAAAATCAAGACTGTAAGTTGTATACCGTACATGTGTCATTGAAGAACTCAGCCTTTCACTGATGATCCATTCAGTTAGTATATACCCGGACCAGTTACTGCTGACTCGATTCCAACACGTGGTGATGCCCTGTGTCAGAGCAGAGCTGTGCCTCCCGAGTTTTCAATAGCTGAGTTTTCACAAGATCACCAGGGTTTTCTTCCAAGGTACCTTTGAGGGACTTGAATTTCTAACCTTTAAATTAGCAGCTGAGGTCATTAACTATTTGTA